TAAGCGCCGTTAAGCGCCAATAATAGCGGCCGATGACGAAACCGGAATCAGTTTTAATAACCAGTTCGACGTGAGACAAAAAGCGACGACGAACTTAAGAATCAATAAAGGTGCCTTCAAGACCTTTTCTCTCGCGTCGTCTCTATTGCGATCATCCGGGAAAAATAGATCTTCCCTTTCCACCTCTTCCCTCTCATTCTTCCGATCGAACGATTTGCTTGTTCTTTCGTCTCATTCTTGCTTCATTTCCCGATGATAAATTAGATAAATTGAAAGCTCTTTATATACATTTCGCGCACTCTTTTGCATTTGAATATTCTGTTCATTAATTTTTTTACTTTATTTTAATTTCAGTGGAGAATATTAAAATATACAGAATAATTGCATTTATTCATAAATTGTAGTATACAAAATTATCAAGGCGCGCGCAATTAAATTTTCGTCTAGAAAAAGAGAACTCTCTATGCTTTATGTGAGGGATCGTAGAAGTGTGTATGTTAATGCGTTTCTGAGGTAGAACACAGAAGCGATCGATGCATTACAAAGATATTCAATTAAGAGCCGGCTAATGCTACGTCGATAGTCGTTAAGAAATCGCTCGTTATATTTTTTATAGGATAAATCGTTTATCTTATCGATATTAGTCATTAACCTTTGTTCAATCGTAAGTCCGTGGAGCTTATGTATCACGAGATCTCGATACGCGGTCGGCGATAATGGTGAGTCAGCTTGATGGACGCAGAAGAGAAGATGCTTGAATAAACTTCCAGATAAATATTTGTGCTTTGCAGGACGTCTTCGCATTGTGCTGTAACATCATCTTGACTCAAACAGCGATCTTATCGCTAGTTCAATCCGTATTCGATCTGAATTGTCAACAGTTGTACAAAATTTTGCACAATATTTTCCCCTTTGATTTAAACTTATAATTATGATAATTACGTTAAAGTTAACATAATCATGTAAAAATGTTTTATCAAAAATTTTAAACGTCGTATAAATCCCGTAATATTATTATGGCATTTATAATTGATCGATTAATTATACTAATAATTATCATTGACGGGATTATTGCTAGCATATAACGATCTTATTTATGATCTCTCAGCCGTGCGTGATCGCAGAGAGTCGCATCCGAGCTCGCATGGTCGTTTACTCGAATCCCTTTCGCGGCGCGTCGTACAAACGTAAGCCAACCGATGTTCGCCGTTAAACTCCCGATGACTGTTCTTTTTTTTTTCGATGCGCCTCGGCAATTTGATTTCGTATTCCACCGTGCTCGCCCCATCTCTCTCCCGCTTTCTTTTTGTCCCTCGCGATCCCTCCGGCGCGTAGATCGAAATTTTATGGGTCGTATTTCCTCTTTAACGCCGATGCTGTGTGTCCGGCACTCTGGATGATTCCACTCGCCTTTGTGTTGGGGATTCCACTCGCCTCCACCCCCTCCTCTCCGTTCCCTCCGTTCTTTGCTTTTCGCCTTCGCGTCCCTCTTTCGCCGCCTACTGCCTTTTTTTGCGCCGCGCATACGATCGTAAGTCGTCGTATCGTCGTCGTAGCGTGCGAAACGGAGATTAACAGATGTACCGATCACCTTTTGCGTAAAGTGGGGTAAAATCCGGTGGATCGAATTCATTAGACATTTATTGCCGCGTGAATCAAGGCCCTATTTTCGCGAAACGTGGCGAAGAGGAGTGAAGTGAAACAGCTGAATTACACTTTGGAGCAAGTGTCATTCACTCGGAATATATTAACTTTTTTAGCAATACGTTTGCGGTACTTTCCACTAAAACACACGGATGCCGGACTCGACTGTCCGGTTTTATTCCATTTCTTCGCGATTCCCGCGACTGGAGTTCCCGTGAAACTCGTTCGCGCTTGAATAAGAAAAATTAGGAGAACCGATACGACGTCGGATTCCCGCGAAAGAGAAAATTCACGGAGTCAACGACGATGACGATCGGGGTGGGCAGCCTCGCCAAAATAAGCAAAGCTGCCATGGCGAGCGAAGGCGAGGAGGCGCGCGAGGAAGACGAAAACTCGTTTCGTGCTTCGTTGCGAAGGTTAAAACCGTAACGCTCCTATCCGCCTTGCTCGTCGCCGCGCCGCTCGTATGCGAGCGAGCGAGCGAGCGCGGGCGCTGGCCAGAGCTTAAACATCGGCGTGGCTGGCCCCCCTCGCCAGACCGCAATTACATCCCATAAAGCACGATTGAGACACGGTTCGGCCATTATTCTCCCATACAGGGCCGTACAAAAGAGTCCCGCCGTTTAACGTTGCGACCCTTTTCTCCTTCATATTTCGCATAGATCGCGGCACGTGTGCGCGTGCGCTCGCGTCGAGGGAAAGGCGGAAAAACGCACCGTCGAGTGCATTTTTCACTCGCCTATTCTCGAGAGTATCGATGGGATTTCAATGTGGAGAAGAGCTGTCTGGAGAGAAGCGTCTCGTGTAAACGCAACGTGAAACAGTTATTGCCTCGAAGATGAGATTAAAAAAAAGGTTCATCTTTATCGGAGATGAAAACCACACCGGGAAATTTATGATAAATCGGAGAAATTTCTTTGAAGGAAATGCAGAAGAAATTGCCTGAGCGAGGGAATTTATTCGAAGGGACGATCAAGTCCTCGAGACTACGCCTTTCGAAGGAATCGGCTTTCTTTATGGCTCGAGGTATTCGCGAAAAAGGTTACGAGCGAGGCAGGATGATAATGGTAATCAATTCTACTCGATTCTACTTTAATCGTCGATCATTGACTTTTTCCGCGCGGTCCCTATGACCTTGCCTCTCACCCGTTCCCCTGGTAATCGAAGAAACTCGAGGCACGTTTCGCTATGGTGCGATTATGCCGCCTCTTGGGACTTTATGAAGCAATTACCGCGGCACTAATTAGAGTAGGAGCGCCGGTTTGGCAGGACTGCTTCATTTTTGTCCAGGACGCCGTGAGTGACGGAGGTGAGCGACTCGCAATCACCGCGTCAACGAACAATGCTTCACGTCTTTCCCGTCGCCTCGTGAAAAATTACGGCTTTCTTTCACTTAACTTTACACTATTTATTCAAATCGACGTGTCTCAAAGAAAGTGTCTTTCCATCTAGCGAAATTTTGCACATGCCATGTTGACGAGAAGATAAAAAATGGTGATAATATCACACTATAAAAATTTATTTAATGAAGATGCAAACCACGATTTCTTTTTACATCTTCCTTTCATTTAATGTATGTGATCTATACAATTTTTTTGCATAAATACGTATCATGTTTTATAATTTTTTGGAAAAAAGGACTTTGAAAAAATCTAGCGTAGTTTAAAAGAAGGTTAATAGAAAGGTCGTTAAGTAGATGTACTTTGCTAAACTGACGCAAGGCCGTCTCTTTATTCATACGCGTTATAAGCCTCAATTTTGATAAAGTCCCAACCTCGAGCAGAGCTTTGCACGACGGGGGAAACCACCGACGAGCGTGTCACGGACGCATCATTGAGCCGGCTTAGCCAATGAAGTGCAAAACGAGGACGTAATATCACTCATAAATACGAACTTTGAGGAGAGCATACCAAATGCAATCAGACGAAACGTTTAAAAATGACGGAATAGAGCTGCATTTTTAATCCGCCCCAGAATGCATTCCATGCATCGCATCGTATTTCAGTGAAACGTTTATTTAGCTAAAATCTTCGGAATGAGAAAATAAATCGTAATAAGAAAATAGTTTTATGCGATGCAACTAGGAATTTTTCTTTCACAAAATATTCTTCGACTCGCGAGTTTACTTTTAGAGCAACCGTTCTCTATGATGTAAGAAAAACGTTGGAGCATCTGCCACTAAACGTTCACATCCGTTTTCTGGCTGTCAGCTGTTCTTTTTTTTTTTTTTTTCGCATTTCGTGGTTTTCCCATGGCCGACCGCACCTCCGCCCATCGGCACGCTGATGCACGGAGACTCCGGCTTCTTTCGTACGAAGCCTTTAATTTGGCACGTGTTGCACTCTTGGCTATTGTTGCCATGATTGTCGGGTTGGCGGTGCCTGTCTCCCTCCGCATCGTCGCCGATCTTTCGCCTGGTATAAGCGGAGTATGGTGATAATGCGCGGTTTTCTTCTCGGGTGTGCATGGCACGCGTGTTCCTCTTCGTCGCTTTTCGCCTATCTCGGATCGTTATCTGCTAAATATTATAATACCGCGAGAAAGAGCGGCCCGCCGGCGCTGTCGATCCTTGCGAATATTGTTAATGCAATCGAGAATTGATTTTCCTCGGTTCTCGTTTGGTATTCATAGGCGAAGAGTAGTTCGCCGTATTATTCGTACTGCCTATCTATGAATATCAAAGACATTGGCCTAAGAGAATTTTCTAGAAGAGATAAAAAAAGATTGATGCAGAGAGAGTCAATCCTTACATCTTGATTGCGCGAATATATATTTTTTATCCGTCACAAATATGTTTATACAATTATAGTTGTGCACAATATATCTTTAAAGAAATAAAACACGCAAAATTAAATAAAAAACGATGTGTTTTCGTAAAATTCCAAATAATTTCAAGCCAATTGGCAATCATATAATTATAATTATCCCAAACGTGTGTGTGTAATTGTTTAAATTTTTAAAAATCAAGAATTTCAGACAATTTCAGAACAATTGATAATACCTCCATCTGTCATTTTACATCACAATGGAGCGAGTTACGTCGAATGAGATGGGGATTAATGACGTAAAGTATATATTGACATTTTGCGATATGTCCACAATGAGTATGCCGCACGTAATATAAATATTGCACGTTTGCATCGAGTTTTCGAATTATTAGATGATTGCTGGAAAAAGAATGACGTCCCCTCGTGAATCCCGTACCTGAATCTTACCCCGGAACGATGTCCGATATAGCCGTTCGTTTACTGTTGCTATTTGCATGTGCCGTTCGGAAAAGTGGGGGTGGCGGGTCGCTTTGATCTTCTCTCGCGCGATACATCCGTACCTTGATATTAAAATTTCATGCCTTGCAGGAGCTGAAGGAGAGCTTCAATTACGGCCTGTTCTGCCCGCCGGTGAATGGAAAAGCCGGGAAATTCCTGGACGAGGAACGCCGTCTCGGCGATTATCCCTTCAATGGACCGGTCGGGTATCTGGAGGTAAGAGCGACACGTTTTTCTCATTTCTCTGTTATATTTTTCTCAAATTCCTTCTTCCAGCTATACAAGGTTGTTGGCTCAATCGATCACGCTAATTTCGTTCAATATTGTCGTGGAAATGAGACAACACAGGGGCGTTTATATCAGTCAGACGATTATAGTCAGTTTTAGTGCAGAGCAAAGGCTTCCCGTTTTAGTAGCGGAAGGGTTAAGTAGCCTCCTTGCGTGAGCGTTAAGGCTGTCAGCAGGCCCACTTCACGCCTGATAGGATCTAGTTACGTCATATGTTTCTAAGCCGAGCTGAATATAGTGACACGATAGGAATACGCTTTGTTACGAAATATGCGACTGGTCCAAATATGGACAGAATTAAATAGAAACGAAGAAGACTATAATTATACCAAATATTATTTATTTCGCATAATATTTCGTTTACTCTTGATGAAAAATAGTCGTTCGTAAATGATGCTTGCAATTACCTACTTGCTCTCGGCGGATAGAAGATAGTATTTCCAGCTCGTTTACGTCGTCTTCAATTTCAAGCTAAAGACTTTGCGGAACGATATTGTTTTCATAAACGAGAAGGAGAGATCGCGGAAGTACGTGTTATGTAATTAATCATCGCGATGATCCTCGCTATACATAAATCACTCGGTGGTCGCGGTGCGACGAATCCGCGCGCGCGCGCGCGCGCATACGCACACGCAGCACGGCCCGCGATGACTGTTGAAACGGGGATTCGCGAAAAACAAATAATCCGGTCTCGGGTTAACGAGATCTGGATCCTGTCCCGCGGTTTTCTTGCGTAACCGGTGCTAGTTCTCATCACCGTCCTCCTCGTCGGGTTCTCGTCGTCGTCTTCTTCTTCTCCTTCTTCTTCGGCCGGCCCGGCCCCGATCGGTTCCACCGTGCCAGCTGCACGTCCCCGCTTCGTCGCGGGAGATTCACTTTCAGGGACGGCTGACTCATACAGCTTCTTTGAACCATCTTTAAGCCGCATTCACCTCGCACGAGTTACAAATTACACGGGGCCCGTTGACGAAAAACTCGCGTTTAACGAACGCCTGTCAGCGGGATCCCCGTCGGACAATGGGGCCCCGCGGTTTTCAAAACCATAAGTCTGTGGACATGTCGCAAAAGCATGAGCACAATACCTTTACAGCCGGACTGCATTCTCTTCGTAAACACAGTCGTAGCTGCGGGTTCTTGTGGAGTATCATGTCTCGTAAAGATTTGCCTGTTATTTGCGTTGCTATTGACCGATGCGAGATGATTATTTTACCTTCGTATTCTACCGCAAAGTTTAAAATGTATGTGACGAAATAATTCTCTTTATGGTACACATTTTAGCATTGACCGATTACATTGCGTAACATTTAAAATTTTAAATTAATTTAGGATAAATAAATTATTAAAAAATATTATTTCAATTCTTATGGTTTAACGGAATGAGAAAATGAGATTACTCTTAAAAGATTTATCGATTTGCAACATGACATCAAATGACAGATTATTTATACATTTAGATATACCAGATTAATTAGGTATGAATACGAGATAAACTTACAAATCACCAGTATTTCGTAGTTGGCCTTCTAATAAAGCTCGCTCATTACAATAATCGATCCCGCTGTCAATCTCGCTCTTAGATTCTCTCACGAAAGTCGAACAAAGTTAGATTCAGGGCCGCGTCGATTCAATCCAATTCCTTTGATCATCTGACTATCCATTTATTTTGCACGAGCTAACGTCGGACAATCGGAATAAGACGTGGGCGCGACAAGCCACTTTGGCGAATCGTGAATACGTGAATGAAAAGTGAAAATTGACGGCCGCGTGTCGGCGACGGCTGTCAGCCGCGTGCGGCGGAGTAATTAATTATCAAACGAGAGTTATGTCTGACGTACTCGACGCGCGCAACAGTTTAAGTATCTATTCAAGTTCAAGTATGAATTATGTATTCTTTCTCGATTTCATCTCGCGGATAGAGTTCGCGCGGTGTAAAAACTTACTTTGCAGCTTCTCTCGCGAGTTGCTTTTTATCCGCTCGATATATTGACTTCCTGTCGTTTCTTCAGAGAATAAACGAACTGCCGTAAATAAAATTCGAGCGCGAGATAGAGCTGCGCGTTTCTCAATTTTCATTTTCCACCCTCAAAATCTATCTCGATGTCCGCTCCCTATCAATATCGCAGTCAAGATAAGTAACACCGTTAGGTTGCACGTCGAGCTGCGCTGCTGTGCATCCGTCCGCGTCCGCAACGCGATAAAACCGGCTGATGTGTGCGTGATACGATCCGCGCGATGATGATGGCAGCGCGATGTACTCGCTGCATTTACGTTCCGACGCTACCGTATACGTTGGCACAGTAGTCTCTGTCGTACTATTATTGTTGCGCACAATGCGGCACACGCGGTCGTGCTGACAGCGCCGAGGAAATATCGCACGACAAATCGACGAGAGACAAAATACTTTGCATTTTTATGATTCAATTACAACGTACTTTTTACGACCAAGTGAAAAATAAATTAAGTAATCCTACAAATTAAACCCCGAATGCTAAAAGAACATGTAAATTAAATTAAATATTACGCAGGGAAATATTTCAGGAAATTAAACGCCACAAATGTAAATAAATGAGAGAACCGCGCTTGCCGGTTAATTTCCGGAGAATAACGCGCGCCGTAAAAATTTCATTGAAATTCAGAGTATGTACGACGTGAAGAAATTAAGTACGCAAGACGACACAGCGTCAGATTGAATTTTCGATACGATAGAAAGAGAGAGTAGTTTAATATCTCGAAGGCGGTGCCGCGTAGTGCTTTACGCATCTTATGTCATGTCCGGTTTATTGCGTATTCATCGATAACAGAGAAATACGCGTGACGAACGCGCACTCGTGGTAGATTATAAGAAACGGCAATTATATATACACATTTATAGAGTCGACCAGATGAGACGATCCGGCGATGAGATATACTTACGCGATAGCCGTGCGCGGTGCTCTCGCGACTATGTATTTACATAAGTACCACGGGGCTACCGCGATTCTATACCGTGACAAATTGCACGCGACGATCAGTCGGAGAGAAATGCCACGGATATCTCACTTTCGACGTAATTTATGATTTTATTCTATAACCGTTATCTCGATGTATAATGTAGAAATAATTAACTCACCGAGCAGCGTGCGATAAGCTTCACGCTTTTACATCCGACAAGATAGAAAGTAATTTAGCATTAATAGTCATTTTATATGTTGAAACGGCTTGTGCGCGCACACACAATGTTTCGAAAGTGTTAATATTATTTTGTAAATAAATTTGCAGCTCAAGTACAAGCGGCGGGTGTACAAAATGCTGCACTTGGATGAGAAACAGCTCAAGGCTATGCACACCAGGACGAATTTGCGAAGGTTACTGGATTACGTGCAGAGCAGTCAAGTTGAGAAGATCGCGAAGATGTGCAGCAAGGGACTGGATCCTAATTTCCACTGTCAGGAAACGGGAGGTAATTCACATGCGCAATTGCAGCTGTATGAAAATTGCTGAACAACTCGCGAGTCGCAGATTGCTAGTGATTTTCATCACTTGCCAGCATATTTCGAAATATCAAAGTTCATCTTGAATTTATTTTACCGAACCATCGATAACTTTTTTTTCTTTTATCCGATGTTGCGATATTCTGGATGGATTTAGATGATACATAAAATTACAAAAATACAGAAATTTTTTCTCTATTTTTATGTTTATCAGAAATATCGCAAGTTTATAGTTGCCAAAATTTTGTTTATTCTGAATTTCAGAGACGCCGTTGACCTTGGCAACAACCCTGAAAAAACCTTCAAAAGTGATAATTGCATTGGTCAATGGCGGCGCTCTCCTCGACTATCGAACGAAGGAGGGTTTAACGGCGATGCACCGCGCTGTTGAGCGGAACAGTTTGGAGGCGGTGAAGACTCTTCTGGAGTTGGGTGCTAGTCCGAATTACAAGGACACGAAAGGCTTAACGCCGCTTTACTACAGTGTTATTTACAAGACCGATCCGATGCTCTGCGAGACATTGCTTCACGATCACGCGACGATAGGAGCGCAAGATCTGCAAGGCTGGCAGGAAGTTCATCAGGTTTCGCTCGTTTTTTCCCCCCTAGATTATTTGTATTGCATATTTGCGTAATAGTGCGAATTAATAAAAGCATATAGGGTAAATTATTTCCCGCGCGAATATTTCTACGCATTAACGGGTTCCGATAAGATTTGATAAATATTTATCTTTTCTGATTCGCGATTGCAGGAGTAAAATAATCTCAAGTATCACAATATCGAGTCCGTTAAAAACATTATTTTTAATTTTAATCGATTCGCATTTTTTAAATGTTATCTATTACTTGCCGACAAAGCAACATTTTCCTTCGCGGTACTGGAACTCCATTCACGCGCTTTCACGCGAAAGGGAAAAATATTGAAATCGAAGAGTGGATCGCGAGTTAGCGAAGAATGCGCAGTTCGAGCTCCATTGAACGATTTCCGCGCCTAATACGCGCCTCACTTCGTCGTATGCCCGCAGGCATGTCGCAACAATCTGGTGCAGCATCTGGACCACCTGCTTTTCTACGGCGCTGACATGAACGCGCGCAACGCGTCCGGTAATACGCCGTTGCACGTGTGCGCGGTGAATAACACGGACGCCTCGTGCATACGTCAGCTACTCTTCAGGGGCGCGCAGAAGGACGCGCTGAACTACGCGAACCAGACGCCGTACCAAGTCGCCGTGATCGCCGGCAACATGGAGCTCGCCGAAGTCATCAAGAACTATCAGCCGGAGGAAGTCGGTGAGTTATGAACGTCACGCGAAATGTCAGGAATCGAGCTTCGAGTGCGAGCGCTCGCGAGATTGGATACAGGAATAAGGGAGGCCGAGGTACGCGGGGGCGCGAGATTCCGGACGCGGGAAACTCGCCTTGGTGAGGTTGAGGCGTGATGCTGCAGGAATAAACGACAGACGTTGACGATCGTCTTCCTCTCCTCTCCGTCCTCCCCCGTTCTCCCCCCCGTTTCCTCCCCCCGTCCTCCCCTCCCCCGCCCCGTCGTTCTTGCTCCACTCGCTGGACATTGTTCCGTCGTTCTCGGCAATTCTGCTTGCGCAACGATGATAACGCGCGGCGCGCTGCTCGTCCCCTTCCGGGATCACGAATGGGACGAACGGGCTCGGCAGACGGATAATCAACCATAATCTCATTACTCGCGAGACAAGGTGGTTTTTCTTTCTTCTTTTCCATGTTCATTCGCCACGCCCGCGACGGCTGATCAACGTGACTGTCCGATTCTAATCCCTTATTTACGAATGCACACGGTTTATTAGATAAGGTGAAGACTCGAGTCGCCGGGCGTCAAGGTTCAGCGGGAGGAACGTGATGGGTTTCGGGGCTTTTCTAGTATTGATTCGATGCAAATTCTGATTCAATATCCGATATAGATCGAGATGGGGCCGATAGGAAATTGAAATAACTGATCGGAAGCTTGGAATAGCGATTACTTATCGCTATCGGCGACATCGCTCCACATTCCGCGGCTAATATCTACAATATCTTACGATTTGTTTGCTGAAACAAAGCCGCGGCCGTGTGACACGGCAAAGTTCGCAATCGTTATCTGATAAGGAGCTAACTGATGGTCTAGAAAACCACGTAGGCATTTATATATCGCATGATTATATAGCTGAGCATGAGCATGAGCATGTGCACGCCGCTTTACCCGTAATATAGAAGTAGACATTAGCTGGTAGTTTTCTTTCGGTCGTAGCTACTTAGAGGGTGCCTCCTGGAAATGTGTATAACACGAGGCGCGTTTGTGAGTGTGACGTACGTATGTCGGTGTACCTTTATCTACCTGTGTCTGTGCTGTGTGTGACGAGTAATGTAAAAATTTTACAATCATGTCATAGGATTTTTGGTGGTGATGGTCGTGTATGACGTCGAGTACATTTGTGATACCGAAGAGAAGTAACGACACTACCTTTTGATAGATTGCTTTCCAGTAACTAATGGTACTGTATTTTTGATTCACTGTCGAATGAATCAGTGCTGCCGGATCACATTGCGATGGCGTATCCATAGAATTTCCAAGTGAAATCGGTCGACAGATCAATTTCGGAGTTGAAAATATTCTGAATTAAACAAAGCAAAATATATCGACTTTTTTTTATTAAATTTTATTCACATTCTACGTTGAGAAATAAATTCTCGGCATTCTCTTGTTGATAAATTACGAATATTTCTTTCTGGCAGCATTGAACTTGCAAGAATGTCTTGACTAGTAATGTTTGGTAGTTCGAGATACGTTGTGAATCCACGTGGCCTCGCGGGTCGTCGGAGTTCTCTGCAATTTTGAAGAAATCCGAAGAAATGCATTCCAACGACCGGCGACGGCGACGTCGATCGTTTGTGCACATGACGTATTCCGACGAGACGAGACTTACCCGTAATCTCGAGCACATTGTATCGCACAAAACGGATACAACGAAAGGGTGATAGAGTCGTTATCCTTGCGTGTGCTTTCTACCGCTTTCCCGTCTGTACAGGATGTCCCGGTATTATCCGAACAGTGGACACGTAGCATTGTTCCTCACAAAAATGAGCTCTAACGAATTCAAAGTTTATTTTTCTTTGCAATTTTTTTTTACATTTTTATTTATTTAAGTTAAATCTTCAAGTTAAAGTGTTGTCGGTATAATTATATAACTCTAATAACGTCTCAATATTTATTCTTATCTTTAAAGACTAATTACACAACAGATTTATATCTTACATTTTCAATGGCTCGTAGTTTGAAAATTGTTCGAGAACTGTTTGAAAACTGTCTATTACTTTCACCGACATTAAATTCTAGATCTCTCTCTCTCCCTCTCTCGTAAGGTACAGCATTATGCATTCACTTTCCGCTAATTCCGAGACATCCTATACACGTCGGTACTAAAACGACGAGAGCAGTATCTGGTTGTCCGGGGTTACCCGGGGAGAGCCAATAACCATCATCGTCGCCATCGCGAAGTAACATTGTGCGTGCACGCGTGTGTGCGTGCGTGCGTGCGTGCGTGCGTGCTTGTGTGCGACGGCAACCGCTTGTAAATCCGCTTTGCAAAAATCCCGCACGACGATCTTTCGTGACACCGGAAGATCGATCGTGGAGAAGAGCCCGAGCCGCGGCTCGAGCTCGAACGTAACTTCTCTCTTCGCTTTAACAAACATAATGTACAATGTAACCACGCGACTAACACGCGCGCTTCGATAGACCGCGGATAATGACGGCGTATAAATGTTGTCGCGATGCTTAACACGCGCGCCGATTAAGTGATTTGTTCGGTATCTGCTTCGGTCACGAAACATTGTCCCCGTTGTATTACTCGACTCTTGATACACGTATAAATTATGCTTCAACCCTGGACAGTACATAACGATATGCGATATTCGTTACTAGAAATTTCAGAATTATAAAGTCACTTGATTTTTTATGTAATCAGTATTACTTTCTTTTTAAATTAAAATATGTTTGGTATGTTTTGAAATTCAATAAATCTTATCAAATTTGCCAAGTATTACATTATTGAGAAATTACATATTCAAAAGAGAGACACAGAGAGATTTTCTCAAGATGAACGCTGTTTCACGCTGTTGAGGGTTGAAGGGTCGCGATATTCCGAATGATCGTAGTGCAAGTTCGAAATTAACGAGCCGCTTGACACACACACACACACACACACACACACACACACACACACACACACACACACACACACACACACTACTTTTCACGTTTCGCCCCTGAAGAGTCGCGTCAACGCTCATCCGCGAGAAGACGACGACGAGTGGATTGCGCGCGCCTACTTGTAAGGCTAAGTAATCCTTTCTTTACTTAACCTTGCAACCCTTGCGATTTTCCAGTACCGTTTAAAGGGCCGCCACGCTACAACCCGAAGCGGCGCTCGGTGGCCTTCAGCGGCACCACCTCGATGACGATGACGACGAGCTGCTCGGCGAGTAATCTGGGCACCCTCACCAGGATACCGTCCACCGAACAGCACGCGGCGGCGTCTAGCGCCGGTGGTGGTGCCGCCGCCGGCACCCTCACCAGAACCGTCTCGGTGGAACAGTACTCGAGTATCACGCGGGTGCCGTCCGCCGAGCAGTACGCCACCGCGGCGGCGGCGGCGGCGGCGGCGGCCGTGAGTCTGAGCCGAGTACCGTCCACGGAACAACCGTCGTATCCAACGGCCGCCCCGTCGTCCGGCACGCTCGTCCGGATCGTGTCCGAGGAGAAGTACGCGCCGCCCGGCGCCGTGTTGAGCAGAGCCTCGTCCGGCGAGCGGTACGACGCCACCCTGACCAGAGTACCGTCCACGGAGCAATACCCGGCCGCCGCGGCGGGCCTGAGCAGAGTACCGTCCACGGAACAGTATCCCTCCACCGGTCAGTCGACCGAGTCGAGCCACCACGGAAGCCTCGGCAGAGTACCGTCCGTAGAGTCGAGCCGAAACGACTTACCGAGAATACCGTCCGAACAGAACGGCCACCGACTGACGTCGGAGTACCAGAGTCCGAATTCCTTGAGAGATCCTAACGCGAGGTAAGCATAGATGAGCGCCACCGAGTCGGCAGAAAAGGCGCGATAAATCGCGAGATAAAATCGGCGGACACGTGTGGGAAGGAAGGAAAAAAAAGAAAGAGAGACGCCTCTTCTCTTCCGAGAACCTCACACACATCGGTCCGACGAAAAGATCATTCTCGCTTCGATCATTCCGTCGTCACTTTGCGAGAGAGCGACGTTCGGTTTAGTGCGCCCGCGATCGCCGCGATGCTTCGTCCCGACCGGAATCGGTCCACGTGATTCATCGAGAAGAATCGCGCACGTGCTCGCACGTGGACCGCGTCTTGGTCGGCGCGAAGCATCCGGGGGTCCGATCGCCGGTGTACCTTAAGAGTTGTGTACGCACCATTTCAAGATTGCCGAGCGCCGCGGAGAATTATTCAAACTTGAGAATGGAGGGTCTGACGAGGCTGCAAGAGCATCGGCTCGAGCTGCAGCACCGCCTCGATATGCACAGATCGCAGATGGAGATGCCGCCGTCGCCGTCGCCGAGCAGCAGGAGCTTAGCGCCTTTCAGCTCGGCCAGCTCGAGCCTGTCCGAAGGCAGCAATCAACCGTCCGGCGAGGACTCGGCCAGCATCGTCACAGGTACACTATTCTTTTTCTCTCTATCCCCCTCCCGCCCCCTCTGCGCCCGCCCTGCGATGGTGAGGGGACCAGAATCGGAAGTCTGCTCCTCGATGATCCGCGAACTGCAGAGAAACGAACGCCGTGTAGATACGTCGGATCCCGACGAGAGAGTCAACTAGCCAAAGGTACGAGGAAGCGGATGATCCTTTTTTTGTGCAGTTTATCGCGTTATCACTCATGCATCGATCATCATATTTATGTGTTACCATCACCACCAAAAACCGGCGGCGCGCGAAGGTGGTTTCTCGAGCGATGAGAGAGTTTTTTAGTCGGCTTTGATGGTTCGTGCATGCTTCCGTTTTGATGTACCCGAGGACATTAGAGATCCCGAATATGGTGGTGCTCTCCTCCTCCTTGCAATCCAGCGAGCGAGCTGGGCGAGTCGGCGAGATCTCTCTCTCTCTCTCTCTCTCTCTCTCTCTCTAGCGAAGAGAGAGCAAAACGCGTTGCGCTTATTTCTTAGGATGCGACGAATGCGACGCGGCTGACGATTCTTAGACGCTCTTATTGCCGTTGTAGAGCACACTTTAGGCGAACCGAGTTAAGTTGATCGTTTTCTTTTTTTTGCGACCGACAGTGCGTTGAAGTTTTGATTTAGCGTTCAGAATTAGCCGTTCTTTCTCTCTTTCTCTCTCTCTCTTTCTCTCTTTCTCTCTCTCTCTTTCTCTCTCTCAAGGATTTCGATCTCTTGCATGGCGTTTATCGCTCGGTAAGGCGATGCGGGGCGAACATGTGGCATCACGCTGAGTATACCCGACCGTTGTCGATTTCTAGACAAGAGCCTCGGCGACACGGCGTCCGACGTGATCAGCGACAGTTCCGGGGTGGGAACCTCGCAGTCTGACACGACCAATTCATTATCCATTCCCGGCACGACGGTGGTCTGCGTCGAGAGCTACAACAGCGGGATCACCGGCCACCTGACTATCAATCAAGGAGACATCCTTGAAGGTACACCACCAGGCAACAAACGTTACGCCTCTCTCGTCTAGCTTCGTTGACTTTCGTCTTCCGACAGTGACGACGTTTGCGTCGCAGCTCGCGCTCGATGCTCCGCGATTTCTCACATTTTTTTTCCTATAGTTATCGGCCTAACTAACATTTAGCCGTCATCGGCCTAATTAAAACATTAGCCGTCAACCGGCCTAATTGACATTAAGCGTTCCGCAATAATGGAACGACAGCCGTCTCTCACTCTGCCTCTCTCGATTTCTCTTTTGTAGGTAACATCCAGAAATATTATTCTGATAGCAAGCGTGTTTTTGTTTCTTTATTTTTAACAGTCACCGGTGCCACCGACTGCGGCCTCCTGGAAGGAATCCTGCGCGGACAGGGTACCGGCCTGTTTCCCGCGCATTGTGTTCAAGAAGTCAGGTTGCGTCACACGAACATACCTCTCGGCCCGCAGCCCGCCAGAGACCCGCGAAACCGGGTTCTCGGCCGCCGAGAGTCGCAGCATAAATACTTCGCTACCGCGCCCAGATTAAAGAAACCGTAAGTGATCGCGACGCTTGATCGCGTAGAAGAAATATCGTATCGCGATATTTTTGCCGATAAACGCGAAATTTTATCACTTTTTCGTGGTTACAATTTTAATTTTTTTTTTAATTTCTAGTGTTACCTCGGAACCTCGCACCGTCGTCCTTCACCGTTCACGAAAGGGCTTCGGCTTCGTGTTGCGCGGCGCCAAAGCCACCTCGCCGTTGATGGAACTGACGCCGTCCGCCAGGTATCCCGCGTTACAATACCTGGACGATGTCGACCAAGGTGGCGTGGCCGATCTAGCGGGTCTCCGAAAAGGAGATTTTCTCATTCAAGTGAGTCCACATACGTGAATAATTAATTTAGCTTTAAACAAGGCGCGATGAATAATTTTAATTTTCCAAGAGAGCTATGAACAGAATCCATCTAAAGTTTCCAGTTTAACATTTTTTAACGATAAATCGCAATTTTTCGCGAACGTTCTCTAGATCAATGGCGAGGACGTAACGACGGCCTCCCACGAACACGTGGTCGATCTAATCAGGAAGTCGGGAGAGTTGGTGCGAATGACCGTGGTTTCGCCGGTGATCAGTCTTCCGAATTCCCAGTCGGCGGCCGCGCTGCCAACTAGTCAACCCATTCAGAGACAGTACGCGACCTTGCCGCGCAAGGGTAACAACAACGTGGTGATCGGCGGCACGCTCGGCAGATCTCCAGCTCCCATGCCACCGCGAAGAGACCCGAAGACTACGCTGAGCGTAGGTCGTGCGAGGGCGCGATCGATGGTAGCTGGATTAGGTAACAGAATTCGTTGTACAAATTCGCGACGCGCAAATAATGGTCACAAAGTACCTTACGTATCACAATATATGTTTATTGTGTTTTTCCGTAGAAGGCGGCGGCGAAAGGGACGATCGCGATGAGATCGCGTCGACCGGCGCGAAGTCGAGCAGCGCGGAATCGATTCACATGCCGCAGCAGCCGTCGACCGGAACGAACACCGGCCAGAACACCCCTGTGCAACCGAGAACGGCCAGTATTCGATCGCGTCCAACTTCCAGCAGGATCACCGCCGCGGAGCTCGAAGTAACTATCTCCCGTCCGTTTGCGGCACGCGTGACAAACATGCTCTCTCTCTCTCTCTCTCTATCTTTATCTTGCTCGATCACTGAGTCTATCCGTGCGCTCGTTGTTCCCGAATTGAATGGCATTGTGTGCACGTGACGAGACCGAGGCTTCAGCATCGTCCTTTAATTTCTCTTCCAGGAACTATTTCAGCGGCAGCAGGGTAGTGGCGCCGGCGGCCAGTACGGCTCGTCCATGATGAGCTCCTCTCACTTTCAGACTACCGGTCAATCTACCAAGTCGCATCCGTCGTCGCCCGCTAAGACCGGCAGGGTGTACGCGAGCGTAGCGGAGATGAAGCGCAAGGGCAAAGTAAGGATGACTCGCCACACTCTCAAAGTTACGAGCTCGCGCTCGCGCTCTCGCTCGCGTTTCTTTCTCTTAACGTTTCGCCCTAGTTGACAATAAGTTTGCCCCTTGATGAAAGCTGCCCTAGAAAGTGGACGTTAACATGTTTTTTTTTATTCATCTCATCCATTAGTAGTTTGATCGAACTCTTTTAACGTTCCTTTAGACAGCCACTTTTGATCATCCCTTAGTTTTTACTAGACGTTTTTATCTTTCTCTGCTCGTTCTTTCGTATTGTACCCGTCGATAGTAATTAATAACAATACACGGTTAAAAGGAGACACCCCTTGAGAAAAGTCTGCCAGCGTCGAAGGCGTCGCCCCTTCGGTGAATCCTCCTCTCTCTCTCTCTCTCTCTGTCTGGGCAATGGTAATGGTGGTCGTTCTTTTTGCATGTGTGTTATAGTTTGCACGCAAGCCGGTGCGAGCGCACAGCAAGGGACGATCCTGGTGCGGGCGAGACGACGAGGACTACTACTTATATTACTGATCGAAAATACTTTGTTTCTAGCTCGTCCGTGGCTTGCATGATTTCAGGTGACTAAGTCATTTGCTAAATGAAAAGAAATCTGACGTCCGCGAGGGCGTTAGGTGCCACCTACAGCTTCGTGTTCACGCCTCAAGTATGATTAACAATTTGCGCATTTGCATTTTAACGAAACTTGTGCGATCCTTCAGTTCCTTGAGTCGCTCTGCGGGATTCGTTCTATAAGCATGGAAGGCGACGCGACGCGTGGTCCAACTGCGCGTCGTTCCTCGCAGCATACGATAGCATTTAACACTTAGATAACATTTCGCTGAAGCAGTAACGGTAGTGGGTTAATCACACGGTAGTTTTGGATCATCACGCTTATGAGCAGGAATACGCTTCATCCTGGTGTCACGTTATCTTGTATACGTTCCCGTCTTTCGTCTACCGTTCTCTCCTTCGTCCCCTCACTAAACCCACTGTAAATCGCAATTCCGTCTTCACGCTCCGAGTTTTTCAAGTTTGGCAAGGCGACGCGAGTGTTGCGGTCGAGTTTACAGTCTGTACGAGCCTGTTGTCGTTACGTTTGCAGTCGCACTCGAGAGTACGCTTCTTCGGCGGCTTGGGCGGTGGTTCCGATCTCCACAGAGACTTCCACAGCACGCCGGATCTCAACGTGCAGGCGCAGTCGTCAGCCGCCCTTGTGCCCAAGAGCCACAGAAGCCAGGAGGACGTGAACGCCCTGAACGGGAGAAACGGGCTTCCACCGCCGAACCATCCGCCGCCGCCCCCGCCGGTCGGACAAGTCGTCAAAGTGAATGTCGGCGCCAATGTGCCGGACGTCGTTACGCCAGCCTCCGTTTACGACAACATGGCGCACATTCAGCAAGTGAAAGGTAACAGCCGCGTCTCGTTTATAACTCATCACCGCCGAATTGAAATAACTAATCATACATTTTGATCGGAATAAATGCACTTTAATATAGATTTTGATTACACTTTGAAGAATTATGATCGTTTTTATTATTTCGACTACCCTACTTCAAGAGTCTCGAATATATCCGTTACACACAGAACTCGCGGCGGCAACGGTGGAGGGTGCCTACGGAGTGATGTCGAGCTTCCGGCCGTCGAACAGCGCGAAGCTGTACGCCTCGCCGGAGGACATGAAGACCGTCGGCTACCGTTCGCGCAGTCTACCGGCGAATCGCCCGCATCTCAGGAAGTCCCACAGCTTGCGCAACACACCGAGCAGCACGACGTTCAAGCCCGGCACGACTGGCAGTCAGCAATCGTTGAACACCAGCATCGGCAATATGAACAACGGAAACGGTAACAATCAGTACGCGCAACCGTTGAAGACCAACAGGAGCCACAGCATAGCCGGTATTCGCGAGAGAAAGAAGAAGACCGTCGTCACCACCAGCTCGTCCATCACGAATCTCTCGTCGATCGCGTCCGGCGCGAACGGAACATTCGCGCCGCCCTCCTCGGCGCCGCCGATCCCCGAGCCAGATTACAGTCTGTCGGAATCGGAGAACGACGACGAGGACGAGTCGGACGAGGACGGCGAATCGGAGATCGCGAAGGAGCTGGAGAAGGCGGCGGCGCGAGAAAAACTGGAAGCGACTCGGGAGACGTCCGGCAATTCGAATACATCCGGCTCGAGCTCGTCCGGCAGCGGCTCGCTGCCGCACTCGTTCAGCGTCGAGGAGATCCAGAAAGTACGCACGCAACTCAAATCCTCCAAGAGTCATCCGAATGATTTTCTGCTACAGACGCAACAGTCGCTCGCCGAGGACGGTGACAACAGCTCGAGCGGCGTCAGCTCGGACCAGGACGTGCCGGTGGGCCCGCCGATGGGCTTCGACGACACCGCCATGCGGAATCTGGCGAATCAAGAGAGCAATCAGCACTTGCCGTCGGGAGGCGCGTCACTGCTCACCGGCGTCAGTCCGGTTGAAAAGGAGGCCAGTCAGACGAAACGGCCGGGCTACGGCGGCAGCGGACTGCTCACCAGGCACGCAGTCAGCCTGGCGCAGCTGCCGCCGCCGATCGAAGCCGACGCCGAGGAGCAAAACAACGATTTGTTCGTACCTCCCCCGCCGGAGTTCAACGCCGGTCCATCCGCCGCCGGCGGCCAGGATCAGGAAGTGGTGGTGTTCGCGCCGCCGCCGCAGTTCTGCGACAACAAGCAGCAGCAGCAGCAGCAGCAGCAGCAGCAGCAGCAAGCCGCTGCGCAGAACCGCGTCAAGATAATCGGCGCGATTCCCAAGGTTGCCGGGAACCAAGTGAAGGCGTCGGGCGGACGGTTGCAGTAAGAAACCGGATGATTTCGCTCGCGTATTGTTTCTCGGAGAGAACAGACGAGAGAGTTTGCAAACACGTAACTGTAGAGATTGCGATTTCAGAGTCAATATATTTAGAGGCTTTCCGCCTTCTTTCGGTAGTGATCGCCGCGCGATGAGCGTATTAAATTTTTAAACTATCGATAGTCGATCCCGCGAAGGATTGACAATTTGTCGTATATATAAGAGCGCGGTCGCTTGAACGACTTTTTGCCAAGAGTAAATCGTATTCTAATCGCGAGCGTCTAAGAGTCGAGTAGGAATGTAATCGAAGAGGTATTCGAACGCGTTTTTATCGAGTAAGTTTACGAGTGTGAGCGTACGCGTCCGATCGCACCGCAATAAAGGGTTGGTTTGTCGCACACGAGCGCACGATCGATCATAGTCGTCCATCACAACCCTATCCGTGAGTGAGTCGCCGACAGATCCGCAAACCGATTCGCTGCGTCGTAGAGAGAGAGACGGAGAGAGAGAGAGAGAGAGAGAGAGAGAGAGAGAGAGAGAGAGAGAGAGAGAGAGAGAGAGAGAGAGAAAGAGAGCGGCCTAAGGGCGCAAAAAAGAGCGAGGATCCGCACGTCGACGAGACGTGTCGGAGAAAGGTAGAAGCGAGCGAGAAGGAGAAGGAAGAAGAAAAAGAAATTGATACGTTTGATGCGTGTGTACGCGTGCGTGAGTCGTGAATGTGCGATGCATATCGGTTTGTTTTTCATGTTTCTATCGAACTACGAGGTGTGTTTTAATACTTTTACACGACACGACGCTCTTCGTCCTCCGAACAGTAGCTGACGCAGGAACTGTCGAGGTAATTTTACTAAGTCGTTTCTAAATCAATTTTAAACAAGAGCACTGCGGCAGTCTCGCTCACTCTCGATCCCCCCCCTTTTGCCGACGAAACATGGAGATGGAGATGACTTCACTTGACATTTGACGCGAGGAAATCACGTAACCGATTCGTTGTCGATCGAACACGCGCGGTTTTTCTTCAGTTTCCGACTAGCGTTCTCTCTCTCGTGTCTAGACACTGCTCAAACGCCTAATCACAAAGCTCTACTCGCAAAGTCATTAGAGATTCTTCCTAGTTTGTAATTGCAAATATTATTAATATTAGTATTATTATTTTATTATTATTATATTATTAATATTATATATTATTAGCATTGTTATTATAATTATTACGGCGATTACGGCGCTCCACTAAACGATAAAGCGCAGTCGCATTTCACGAAGATGTGCAGCACTATACTTCGTTATAACGCACCATCACTACTCCAGTCTGTGTAAAGTAAATCGTACTCCTTCCATTCGCGCGAGAAGCTCCGTTGAGCCGGGAGACGTTGGACTTTTTGCGCGTCCGCGCGTTCTTGCCGAGCGAGTTGGAGAATCGCCGCGGCCCCGCAAAACCGATAAACTCGCCGATCATTCAGTCGGATTCTCAAACTCCCGTGCAAGTTCGCGATTCAGAAATCCCTTCCGCGAGTTAATTAACTACCCGTTGTACATACGCGTTACGTGTATCGCCATGCAGATGCAACTGTAACCCGCGCGTCCGGATGCAACGAAGGATCTCGCGGCTCTCGGCGACAGTGCTACATATTGTATATATATTATATATTGAGTAACGTTGCAAATGTATCCTCGAGTATCTCTATAATTACGAGCGATCGTCATCTCATTATTACGTTTTACCGCATTCACTATGGTAGATCTATAAGCGATCGAATCCTCCTGATCGTCGTTTCAGCGCCTTCGCGAACTTTAGGAGAGAAAAAGAACCTGCGTTTCGTGCGTAATGCATGTGCGAGCACAAGTGAGTCGCCGCGTGATTTTTAACATACGAAAGAAAGAAATCGAATCAACTGTATTCGTTTCCAAATCACCCTCAGATATATATATATATATATATATATATATATTCCCCAACGTCGGTTTTTTTAAATAAACATCAAAATCATAAGTATGGAGTTTACTCTCAAACATCCTTTGAATGTAAAAGTCGCTCGCGAGATATTTAAATTTGAGAGTACTAATCAATATCACCGCTATTTACTGCTGTATGAATATATGTATATTTTATATAAAAGCAAATTATTATAAATAATTTTTATAAGATTTTAAAACAATTAAACAATTGAAAGATCTAAAAAGAACTTAAAAACTGAATTGAGAAAATATGAGAAAAAATGCATCTAACGAGTTTGCGTTACATTTCATACATTTATTTTTTGAGTTCTCTTTTTAGATCATAATGTGTGTGTGTGTATAATGTTTCTACGATTTATATATAATTTATATATAATAACTTTAAAATTATTTATAATAGTAATTTTTATATAAAGTGTTCATCTAGCATTAAATAATGATAGTGGTAGTTGTGGAACTCGAAAACTAAAATATTTGCATATTCAATAAATGTTAAGAATTATCACGGAACATTCATCGGGTTGTGCAATATTCGCGAGATAATTCCGTGAACTTTCGCAGGTCAGCAAAAAGCAATACATCACAGCTACGTGTGTGGCATCACGACGGCTCGTACAACACACAACAGCAAACAGAGAGATCGGTCGAGAGGCGAGGCTTTATTTTTTTTTTTTCACCGTGCAATGTGGCACGCGCGGCCACGTGGCGTCCGACGCGAAGCGCGTGCACCACCTCGACTACGTGCACCGAATGCGCGCCTCGTCGCCGCGATATTATATAATTACGACATTCCTGCCAAAAGTAATATAGTAGTCTTATATAATATATCAAAATTTACGAGAAAGAGAGTTAACGTTGCGTACATCACGTAAGAGGACATACTTTGTAATCTAGTTGTTCCCTCCATCCCTGTTTCCTTCCCGCGTATCCCTCGTTTCCCCTCTCCGCGCCGCTCCGCATTGATCGAGAGCGTGAGATCGGCGATCTCGGTGATCGGCGGTCGCGACGAGCAATCTCGCGATCGCGGACATGCGGCGGAATGTGTCATCTTGACGTGGAATCCAGAGATCGTCGGCCACAGTGTATGCGCGCGCGAATCCAACTTTCTTGTTAAAATCTACCAGTAAAGTATTTATATATGTATAGTATATGTATATATACAGGCTGTTCCTCGCGTAACGAGGATTAATCGGCCGCGGCCGCGGAAAATTCGGAGGAGGGAAAGAAACGGCGGCATGTCGTTCTCTCCGCAGTGGAAATACCGTTAAAATTACCGATTCACGCGCGAGTTGCGTGATTGCTTTCAACGCGAAAGGATTAAAACACGCCGCGACTTGTATGTTTCGCAATTTTTAACAGCTCCGCCGGATTAGTTAATTCCTTCTGGGAATCCTCTTCTCTCTCGCGCACCGGGATAAACTCCCGTTACCGATTAATTCGCGCCTCTCGGGGAACGTGGCGTGTATACAGAGTGTACCAAAAAAGATGTGTACAGTAACGAGACGAGGGATTCTTTTCGGTCACAGTTTTATTCGAATTTCGGATTGTCAATTTTTATCTTTGATATTGAGTATCGTCGTTATAAAATTGCGATCGATTAAATGCGAATAAATTTGTAAAGAGAAGACTGAAATCATCGATTTTACAGACATTACAGACGTCGAAATGTTTTAAGTATCTTTTATGTTGACGATTGAATAATTTTCTGATCAAGTTTTTTCGGTAAGACTGGAGGCGACTTCAGAAAAATTAAAAAAACTGTTACTCGTACACGCGTTTCTTGAATCATCCTGTAGAACACGCTCTAATGTGAGAACGGCGAGTGCCAAGGAGAGTCATCGAGAAGTGACTCGATGATCGTACTGCGACCGACTGAATTTTTGAAACCACTCTTTATTATCTTCTAGCACTCCTGCGTTTAATCTCGCGCTCCCTTCTTGTCCACCCAATCCTCCCTCCCTCCCTCCCGTCATTTTTCATATTTTAGTTATCACTATCATTAGTATTATTATTAGGTATAATTACTATTAGTATTTTGTATTATAGGTATTGTATTGTAAATTGCAAAGTACGTGCAATGTTTCGACGATGAATAATAATCGATCATGTTCAACTAAATGCGCCTGAAGTTTTATCTTCACCCTCGCACCGAAAGGCACATATATTGTATTTAATTATATTTATCTCCTTACCCGTTTCCCCCTTTTTTAAATAAAGTTGTTTTGCGAGTTTATTACAAATGAAAAATTTCATCCATTTTTATTCGATAATTGAAAATTTGATAAATTTCCTTAACAAGGACACGAATTTTAACATATTCAAGAGTCTGTTTTTCATTTCTTTTCAGCGCATCGAGAGTGGAAGGTATTAAAGTAAAACAACGAGGGTACGATATCGTAACCGTGAAATTATTATTATTCTCTTACAATATCTATCTCTTTAATGTTCTTGAGCTATAAACCATCATTCGTGTTTGTACATGAAAGTATCCAAAAAGACAAAGCACTGTTCGACGCTCGGATATTTCTCTCTTATTCACCTTTCATTCGCTCGTGCGCTCGGGCTTCGGAAAAAGCTCCCGCCCGCGCGCATTTCTCTCTTAGCTATTATTTCGCATTTCTTTTCTTTTTTTCTCGTAGAACCACTATGTGGATTAATGAACACCGGCGGTGCTTTTAACGATCGGTCGATCCACACAATGAACGCAGGTTGTCTTTTCTTTTTATTATTATTTGGCAGTGCGAAACAACCGTACTTCTTTTCTACCGCGTCTTCCGCTTTTTTTTTTTTTTCGTCACGCGATATTGAGTCTTGTCGAGTCTTGTCGGATATGAGAAACGCTATATCGATATCTTGACGAAGCGACGAGAAGTCTTGAGATCGTTTTGGCCGGATCCGGACTGATATATTCTGCGATCGGTCGTGTTTGATTCTCGTCGTTTCGTTCATAGCGAGAGAAAAAATCATTTCCCTTTTCCCGTGCGAAAGTATCTATGAAGGGCTCGCGAGATAACTTAGAAATTAAATCGATGGGTAGGCTTGCCAGTTTTCATCGTCGCGCGCGCACTTCGAGTTTCTCTCTACACGCTATAAACCATATTATTTTAAATTATGCAATATATTTTCCTACTTTTATACAAATACAAGCACTTGTCTAACTGAAGCGATCTCGCGGGGTCACGATCGAAATTAGATCATCAATCATCGAAGGATCCAGTAACACAATACAAAACACGATGGGGACACGTCCGTCGTAATGATATTCCTTTTTCTATCACTATATAGGGAATTATAAAAAAAAAAAATTCATCGACTTAATAAGTTTGACGCGTTAAATAATAATAATAAAAATATGCGCGAGTTTATAGAATTCTTTGGAAGGAATCAACAGAAATGTACTTATAATACTGATTAACGCAAATTAACGTTTCGCTAAGAGGTGGATTTAAGCGGCCCTCGTCGCGATCGCTTGGATTCTCTCGTCACGCTTTTACATAGAATTTATAATAAATGCAAACACTATATCTGTAATAAGCTATATATATACTTATGCACATATCTCGGGGAGTCTTTGTATATCGCGTTACATTCAATTATTTACAATTTCGAGGCGCGGCGAGAAATCTGTCGAAAATTGTATTCTCGAACTCTTACCCCGCCGTGCGCCCAAAATAATGTCTGACGCGACCGTGGTCGACCGGTTGCTATTTTCCTTTATACATTTACAAGCCTTGTAACTTCTACCGACACGCTCTTACGATTGATTTCGTACGCCAACGACTGAGACTGATGAAAACTGAGAAACCGCGCCAAGCTCTTAAACACACGTTGCAACGTGCAATTCTCACTCGTTTCTTCTTGTCAATACCTTGTGAGATCCTCGAGTTTACGTGTGTTTCATAGAAATATGTTCTCTCAATTTTTACACGATGTAAATTCACGCGAAAGTTTTATTTATGTGCAATTTTGCACAATTTTGAACTGATGCACATTTTACATTTTCTTTCTCGTATCTCGAAAAAGAGAAAGTTTGGATGCATTGAATTGTAATTGATGACTCGTAATCGTTCAAAGCTTAAACATTTTCGTTTTTGGTTGAATTTTGGCATGTTATTGCGGCACATGTTTCTTCAACTTTCGCGTGGACTTGTGTTTTGAAAAGAATCTTTTAATTTTGTAATATTAATACAACTATTCAGTAAAATACAAGCTTGAGTCATGATAGATCAATAGAGAGAATCTCACAGGTGAAACATTTTTTCGTATTCCTTTTGTCTGTGCTTTCTTCTTTTTGCAAAAATACGATAACCACAGAATTCCTGTACCTCTCCATGCTTTTCTCGCATTCTTACACACACACACACACACATTATTCTTTTCCCCTCATTTTCTCTTCCGCTTTCACACCTATCATTTCTTTATTAATTATCGCTAGTTTCTCTCTCTCTCTCTTTCTCTCTCCCTTGTTCTCTTTCTTTCGTTCTCGCACGCACCGTCAAAAAGAAGAAGTAAATCTACGGAGTATAATCTATTTGTGTGTGTGTAGATGTATGTGTGTATGTATATAGCAAAGTTCTTTCCAAAAATGCGATAGAAAAAAAAAGAATCCGTGTATTTCGCTTCGCTATATTTTTTTCTTGTTTCCTTCCTTTTCTAATACAGACCTAATTAGCTTACAGAACATTTTACAGCATTTTCTTTAAACGTACATCCATTTATCATTTAGTGCATTACGCAGCATCGCGTGGATTCAAGTTTAATTCTACAAAAACAAAAAACGCACGAATATGTATAAAAAAAAGAACACCAGAAATTATGGAAATGGGGGTGATTTCCGTTTCGGATCACTCTTCGTGCACTAGAAAAGCGTATACAAATCGTTTACATTGCTTTTACGTATGCCCCCACTTCTCTTTCAGCCTTCCGTCTCTTTTTTCGCATTATTATTATTAGTAAAAGTTCTATATCGATAATTTAGAATTGAATAGCAGGCCGATATGAACAATGGTATATATGAACAACGTGGGACGCTACAGTTACATGCGTGCGGCTAAGCCGCATATGTTTTTACCACCTTTCACGTTTACAGAGGAAGATTTATTCATCGTTGCCGATTCGAACGCGTTAAAAATGTGACGAACGACCGCCACGCAAAAGTGTGAGAAAAAAAAATCTTTCAACTAAATGCAGTCGTTTCGTTTCCTTGGCTAGTGACGTTTGGACGCATATAAATCTTAATCACGATTAATTACAAAAAAGGAAAGTACATGACGTACAAAGAGATACAATACTTAAAGTCGGAATTAAACTCGCCAATTACATAATTATATAATACGTGCGACCTAATCATATTCGCAAATCAAGTGTAAACTTATCGTTATAGATTGCTAAAGTACTTTACCGAGTTCAAATGTTACCACAAAACTTAATTCATTTTTTGTACTTTTGCATGATTTTTGTATTGCTGATTTGCTCAAATTTAAATTGACACCGCGAGGGCTACATAATACAATTGGAAAGACTTTTGAAGTGCTTTTAATCTCTTTTTCTATGATTTGTTGCGGTTCTTCCATTCCGCGAGATCAAGCGCGATCCAAAACCGACGACCATTTCTATCGTTTCACTTTTGCACTTATAAGGATTATTACGAAAAAAATACACTACTTAATATCTAATGGAACCTCTGCTCTCTTAGTTCTTCAATAAATCTCATAAATTAGTATCTAAATAAAATAAATTAATATCTAAGTAAACTCGCATCTCAATTGTAAAACTTCGAAACACGATCGATCCAATTGGTTTCCTTTGCCAATAAAGATTTCGCAATAATTACTATCTGAACAAAATAATGTGCCAGAAATGGCAGATAAGTCTTTATTTACTTAAAAAATTGGTCCCTTACCCGATCGACGTAATTTCGACACTGGCAGCGACAATACATTTTGCACGAGCAGAGATCTTGTGACAGAAAATTGGCAAAGTGAAAAGATGGAAATAGCGATCGGCGCAAAGATCGCGCCACAAAAAAAAAACGAAAGCGATGAACATGAAATGGTCGCGAGACGCAATGAAATCTAAAACAAAAAGATATAAGAAGCAAGGAATAAATATAGAAATTCAATTAATTTTTTAATACGATAAAAAAATGCCGATGGACGTCATTTAAATAATTTTTCAGATATTTAAAAAACAATGTCTGCCAAATCATGTTACTTAATGCAATATGAAATATCATTATATATCAATATTTAAATTAATATAATATATTTATATATGTATATTCATATTATTCCTTACTTCTTAAACATCTTATTTCTATATTTCATCGCAACTGAAATTTGAAGCGATACGCGCTGATGAATGCGCGATGATTCCTCATGAGACCTTGTATGGCACTGAGGAGCTGTTTCAGATCGATTTAAAGCACGGAAAACCTGGACTGTTGAACAGAGCCCGTTGCACTTCTTTTCACTCATTCTGTTTTGTATGTCATTGGCAGTACCTTGATTTATGTGCTCGACGAAGTCTGGCAGTGCGCGATCCGTGAGCGCTCGGAGAATATCGCCGATCTTAAATCTTTAGAAATCATTAAGCAACTCACTTTTTAAGATTAAACGTGCACGAGAGAGTGCATCTAACTTTAAGCTAACAAACATGGCAAATGTCATTTAATGTGTATGAAAATCAAATTTAAATTCATAAATTGAACATTCAGTAATTAAATTAATCCAGTGTTTGTTAACAAAGATTTTTTTTTTCAAGAACGGCGATACAACTCGGAGAGTGTAAATTCGAATAACTAATTCGGTGGCTACCCGATGGCCAAGCCGTGTGTACGTGTACGTGTATAAAGGGAAACGCCGACGAACAAGATTGTTAAAAGCACGCGTACGCACGTGCGATAGAGAGAGATACTACGTTAGAGGCGCGCCGTTAAAACGATGAGGCTGGCAGTGCGTGATTTTGGCAGTAACGCGTTTACATTTCCCGGTGTCAATCTCTCGATTTCTTGCGAAGGAAGAAAGAATTCACCCGCCTTTGCCGCCGTGTGTACGTATCATCCTAGCGGGAACACTGTGCTCGAAAATCAACGAATGCAAAGAGATTTACCTTCTTTTTTTTTTTTTTTTAGTTAGTCCTTCGGTACTCGCGAGCAGCTTGAACGGCGAGCAGCAAGTCCGAGTACAGGATTCGTGTAATATGCCGTTTCGTTACAATAATTTCAACTAAGTATTTACATTTACAACTTGCGACTTCGCGATGCGCGCCGCGTACACGCGCGGGACACCTTGACGTGGGTGGGATTCGAGAAGAAAAAAAAAATAATTGTAAAAGTAAATTCTTTAAAACACTTGTCCCGGCGGCGTGAATAACAACGACGACGACGACGCGTTCACGAATTAGCCGCGACTCGTTACGCATTCACCCCCGCGCGTCAACTAGAGATCTATTCGATTATACACTTACAATCGTACTTTATGATAATAGTAAGAATAATTAATTATCGGTTAATTATCGTAGAACTCTTAATTACAATCGTATTGGCAGTGTTTCTTAGCTGGTGTGTATGTAATGACGTTCCGTCTTTGTCTGTCTTGTCTATGTGTCCCATGCGCGTCACCATCTCTCACTCGCTCGATCTCTCGCACTCCCTCTCTTTCGTCCATCCAGATTTTCTCACCCAATCTCTCACCCGTCACTCTCTTTCATTCCCGCATCATTCAGCACACACGACTTTCACGAGCTTTAATTTACACGAATCATTATTTCGCTACGTTATGTATATACGCGCGACCGCGTTGCCGTTTCGCAATGCTCACAAATATTCGCAGTCGCAAAAAATGATGCTCGTTCCGTTCTTGCGACTGCGATGGTCGATGTGCGAGCGACGGAAACGACGACACGGCGCACGTTCACATCTTGTTCACTCTCCTCGAGATAACTCCGTGGGACATGTAACACAGCCTTCGAAATTTACCCCTTTTGAGGGTAACAGCTCATCTCGGTCGCGATCGTGCAGCATGTTCAGCTACTCCCGTTGTCAAATCTCTTTGTCAAATCGCAAAGTGGACCGCGCGTTCTTCAAGCTTAGCATGAGCGTACGCCAACATGCTACATGAGACTCAGCAGAAAGATAAAAATAACGCGATGAAATACACGCGATCGAACACGTTTTCGGTGCGATAAAACGAGGCAAGCTCGACGTCGCGTTAGCTCGCTCCGCGAGAGCTCGCTCGGGCGTGCCTCGGGCCTTGAAAATTACTATCTCTCTTCTTTAATTTCGTTTTGTACATCGCCTCTCTCTCTCTCTCTCTCTCTCTCTCTCTCTCTGTTCCAACAAAAAGGGGACAAAGAGAGAAATCAGTTCTCGATAGAAATCTCGGTGGTGGCGTGTGTGTCGTCCGATAATACCGCAATCTTTCAAGTTCGTGCCGAGCTCTCGAGTCTGGGAGACTGTCAACCCCATTCAGGGAAATAACGGCGGGTTCGGAGCAACACCATTCAATCTCCCTTTCTCTCCGTTCACATTCCCTCTCATTCGTACTCTTTCATTCTCACCTAACAGCCTAACTCCCTCCCGCGATCTTCCTTCGTCTCTCGATACAGTCTTCTGCGTCCGCTTCGCGCTGTCTACGATCCTCTTCCTCCTTTCCCGTCTCTCCTCCTCCCTCGTCCTCCTTCGTGTCATCGAACGACGACAGCCGGCGCGAGTTCCTACCAAGTTGTAAATCGAGGTAGACGAATCTTCTTTCTCTCCCTTTTTTTCTTCGAGGCATCGTCGGAGATCGCAAAGATATTATCAGTTCCCGGAAGTGCCAAGGAGCCAATGTTAGATATTAATTGTTGAGTCTTAAGGCCACCAGAGTGATTATCTCTTTATAAATTGTTAACTACCGCTTAAATATTTTGTCTGTGCGCTCCCTCGGTTTCCATTGGCAAACAAATACACAAAAAGCTCCTCTTCGCTGCTTTCTTCCTTCTTTTCGCTTTTTTTTTTCGACTAACATTATCACCGCTCCCACCGCGCGTCCATCCTTGGAATTTTGATCGGCGGTAGAAGACGGAACAAAACGTATCCACGGTGAGGCACTTTCGAGGCCCAGACTTAGCGCTTCCGAGACCGACGAGCTGCGAAGTGTGCGAGGTACTCGTGGCAGGGATCAGTGTAGAATAAGCACGTTGATAGATGTATCTATCGATGAACAACGACGAACAGCAACGCTCTCGCCGGAGGGACGAATGACCGTATCCCTCCTCCCCCGTCCTTTCTCTTGCTGTGCCCTTTAATTCTTATCGCTACTGTGTACTACTCGGTTCATCCTGAACTTATTATCTTTCACGATTTCCGTTCAACGTTTACGATTCTTATCTTCTAATCGGTCTGCACTCGTAAGGATTGGTCGTTCTCCTAGATTAGAAGAATTATTTCCTAAGCGATTTCCGCTCTCTCGATACGTTCGGGTTGTTTCGGGCCGCATCGGTGCGACCTTCGTCTTCACCGACCAGGAAGCGTATACACTGTGTGTCGCTTGTGCCAGCGATAGCACTGTTCTTCACTGGCTCAGGTGTAAGATAGTTCGTTAGGTCTGTTCTGGTATCCGGCCGATCGGCAGGCATTATCACGAATTCTTCACTGGTTTCCGGCGCTGCTTCACTCGCGTCGTCGGTGGCGCGCGGCCGCTTATCGCGGGATAGAGAGCCAAATTCACCTCATCCGGACTGCTCGCGGCTGCTTTGCGAATATCCACGTGCTTCGTGCTTTGTACTTCGGATTCCAGTACCCATTCGTCCGGTTCTCTGCGGAAAATACGTAATGGCGAGAGTGAGTCACGCGGCTTCGCGATATTACGTGTCGCGCGATCAGAGATTATTATTGCACCGGAACTTACATATCTTGGGGATACCACCGCAGCAGTACTTTCGTCTTTCCGTCCAACTCCACTCTCTTCGCTAAAACCTGAAAGATAAATTTTATCGGCGTAAGTCTCAGCTGATTTTCACGATGCGGATTGCGCGGGATTGCAATAATTCTACGCTCGTAACTCACTTGACTAGTTAGTGCCATCGAGTTTCCTGGCGTCTTAGCTAGTTGCCTCTGCGTCCTCGATGCCGCTAGTTCCTGCAGCCTATGCTGGAGACCCTCCATTATTCCCGAATCGAAATAATCGAAAAGCCTCGCTGTAAGAGATACGTTAATATTTAATAACATGACGCTTTTGTCAATGAAATAAAATATATTTATTGTATTTGACGGAATAAACTTGTAAGTAGCGTAAATATTTCAAACAAGCTCAAAAAGATAAGGACAATCGACGATGCAAGTTACATAATCGCGATTAAATGATACTCACCAGACCAAGGTTGCCGCCTATATCTAAGCTTCTTGCCATTCCTCCTAACAAGCTTGCCGCCGCTTTCACAACTACGTCTTCCGTTGCTGCTGCTCGCTTCCGGCTGATTAAAATGACCATTTACATGCCTCTCGAGAGCAGTCTGCGAACAAATTTTATTTATTATAGTTTCCGAAGACCAGAATTAATGATATGTAACGATAATTACCTGGGAACTGAATCGACAACCGCAGCCGTCGACGATGCATCGGAAGGGTTTATTGCCGCCGTGAGACAAAACGTGTCTCTCCAGCCATCGTCGGGAACACGAAGTCCTTCCTTGCACTTTGCATCCCTGCCACTGACAAACAAAATTGTCGCCGCCGGTTTGCGTGTTAATATGTGCAGCCTGAAAAAAGAAAATAATATAAAAAATTGTACACAACTCAGATTTTATATTATCATATTAATAACATTACGTTTTTTCTTCTTTTTTTTTAAGTAGAGAGAGTCAAGCGATGAAATTTTCTGCGAAAACTGTAGACTTAAAGAATTTTTGCGCACCTGTAGATGTTCGAGAAGACCACTAATAGACTCAAAACTGGCCTCGCACTTGTCCCAGCGGCAGATCCCATTATCGGTAGCCTGCGACCTATCTTTTTCGGGCGCTCGCGCCGGAAATCGAATGGTGGTAGGCGCCGAGAGGATGGGCGACAGCGACCGCTTCGATTCGCTACTCCGGGAGTCTTCCTCGTCCACGTCATCCTCGTCGACCGGTGTTGTTTGGATCTCCTCGCTCTTATCGTCCTCCTTCGACGGCGAGGAGGACAGCCTCGAGATGGGAGTGTCGTGGCCGCTCTGCGATCTCAGCGCGCCCAGGATACTCCCGCAGCTGTTCGTGAGATTGTTGTTCTCGTTCACATGCGGTTTGGAAAGAATGCAGCCCTTGAAGTCCAACGGCACAGTCTCACCCAGCAGCGAGTCGGCGGCAGCTGGCGGAGAGCTGCACTTGGCCGCGTTGATACTCGCATCCGAAGTTAATCTGTTGAATGAAAAAAAGCAGCCATTAATCAGAAACATAATTTACTTACCACTTGCTTTCCACTTGCTTTCCACTCAAATCTATGTTACATGGAGGATTGTATTTGGTGATAAATCAAAATTGAGCTACACACACCGGTAACACGAAGATTTGGAAGGCCATCTTCTTTCAGGACCAGCATAACTTATTGCGCTACGTGTACTATTCGGGGATACTTGAAACTGTTAAGCTACTTATCCTTGAAACGGAACGAAACGGAATGAGTTTTGTTGAACGCAAAGTAGAACGATCCAAACTTTCCTCGATGTGTGCGTCTAATAGCAAATTACTAACTCTAAGTGATCAGCGTTAATGCGTAAAGAGTTTTCGTGAGATCGGAGCCAGGCATCTATACCTAAGGGATGAGATCTTGTTCGAGATCGGCAGACTTGGCAGCGGTTTCGGCAGCTTCTTATCCATCTTGCCATTGATTCTTGGCACGATGACCAACGGCGGCTTCTTCACGGCAGCCGACGGCGACGTCAGCGTTCTCACCTCCCAGTCATTCGTCGAGGTGCCGCGGCTCTGGTTCGATGACACGGTGCCCAAGTATTTAGCGAGACCGCCCTTGTTTCTCTGCACCGTGGGTGGCCTCCGGAATTCCGACGAACTCTTTGCTACCAGCACCGACATTGTCTCGCTCGTTTTCTTGATCTGTCGACAAAAATATGACGGCGATGATAGGTGCATTAATATTATCTATCTTATTGTTATACTTCAATGAAGCTGGAAGTAAGTCAAGTAGCAAGTTATTTATCTTCCTCAATAAAAAGAAATGCAGACTAAAATGCTTTGTCAATGTCTATATTAAATAAAGTAAGAAGTAAATAGCAAGCATATGACATGTTCAATATTATCTATGTGAATTATCGCAAATAGAGAATTTGTAAAAATTTCTCTTTATTAACTCGCTACTCGATAGATTTTCTTACTTCTTCCTTGCAATCGCGATACGAGCAGTGTGATTTTCTTTGCCTAATATCGAACCATATTAAATTGTGCCATATTAAATTGTCAATCAATAGGACGAGAGCAGGTTCTACGAATTAATATCCACCTATAGGAAAAAAACCGATCCACTCGCGGATTTATTAAAAAAGACTAATTCAATATCCGATAAATGCGAGTTCACTGATAAGGCGAGTATCTGAAGTGTCCGCATGAAGTAAAGCGGGTCGATATCTTTCAACACTTCCGTTACAAATATAGCTTTTATCGAGGAAGCAGCTTGTTTCAGTTTTTTTTTTATTTTAATTTGTTTCTACAAAATACAACTTTTATTTTTAAACACTGTTGAGTTAATATTAAATAATATTATAGCATAATATCTTAGATATCGGCAATTTTTAAATTAAGATTCTACCGAGATTTACTTTAAACTAAATGAAGAGCAAACTGCCTTCCATTTGCACTTTTGAAACTTAAACGTCTGAAAAATCTTCGTAGAATTTCACTCGGTTCTCTCACAACCCAAGATCTATTGTACGTCGGTGAATGGTTACCTACTCAATAAACAGTTCAAAGCCATTCTTCCGAAACCCAAATAAATTGTGAGTTATGCTTCTATAACACTCGACAATTCGTTTTCACCGAACAGGTCTCTAAAATGACTAAAACATTCCTTTCTAATATCTTAATTTCTTTCCAACTCATTTTTGCAACACAAATTAACCAGAAATTTCCAGACATAATGAACAAATTGTGCTCGCGAGAGAGAGGCGAATTTGAGAACACAGATTAGACGAAGACGTAACACAAATAATCCGTCGCAATAGCAAGTAAAGCAGCGAAACAAAAATAGTTGCATTAATAGTTTATGTAGCAAATTGAGCAAAAAAGAAATCGGCAACACAGGCTGTATAAATTTTATACAGAAATGGTAGAATGTCCAAGATTATATTAATCCCCGAAAATTCGGCAATCGAATTTTCACTGTTTATTATCCGCGTTCGCAAAAATTCGCGATTGACGCAAATTCGTTCGTGCAAAGGCGCGAGAATATTATCTCTTTCGAGAACATCACGATATAACAATATCATCGGCAATTTTTCTGGCCAACATAAAGTTGACTTGTGCACAGAAACATGATTTGATGAAGGTCTGTGTTCAGAATTTTCCAAACTTCTCCAACTTTTTCTAAAATATTATTTCGTGTTGTCGATTGAAGCTAACATTCTGTTACCGCGATGAAAATTTGAGCAAATTTAGGCTTTCACACGCCTCTCGCAATCTTAAACGAGCACCGACCTTCGGTTGTTGCGGCTTGATCTGCGTCTTGAAGTACTCCGTGATCTTGCCCTGAGACTCGTGGTGGTGCTGACCGCCGGCGGTCTTCCCATTCGCTTTGCCGGCCCCCTGGACGTGGGGTCGGCGGCGCCGGAGCGCGGAAGGGCGCCGGCTTCAGGCTCGCCCCTCAGCCTTTTGTACGTCGTGGTGGAGCAAGCCGTCGCTGCCAACGGCGGGGTCCAGGGCCACTGGGGCCTGGTGCCGGTTTGCGACGACGGCGCCAGCTTGAGTAGGGACGGCAGCGGGCTACCGGATGTCCCGCGTACCGCTGCTACCCCTTCATCGCTGCTGGTGCTACACGGTGAGCCTGGTTCAGTGATATCGCTGGTGCCGCTGCTGCTGCATTCTCCGCACGAGACTGCGACGCCACTGTAACAAGCGGAGAGGAAAGTTTTAGTGAAGTGCGGTGGAAAATCCGTCCGAAAAAAATTCGAGATCAAAATCTTTCAGAGATATATTAAGAGCTGTAGAATTAATGTTCATCGAGCCTCATCGAGACATTTGCCACAGTTGTGAGTAATAGAACGTAATATGTACAACACTATTTATAGGGATGTAACGAATATTCGGCATTATTCGGTATTCGGCTTATTCGGTTGCTTTTTTGAATATTCGGTTTGGCCGAATACCAGCAACTATTTGGCCGAATAGTGATTTTTTAAATTAATTGTTCAAGTTCTTAAGGAATAGAATGAAATAAAATGTAAATATGAATAATTTTAACAGCATTTATTATTAATAAAAAAATAAACATGTATTACCTAAATAAACAATAGAAGACAATAAAATAATGTATTTTTGTTTCAGTAAAATAAATTCTGAGAAAATTAAAAATAAAATGAAATTCTTCAATATTAATAAATAAAAATCAGTCATTGCAACAAATTTGGATTATTAGTGTCAGTAATATTACACTAATATTGATAATTTAATAATGGTAAATTATGGTGCAAAAATATTAGTTTTTCGCCGTTATCTGGAAGCAATCTATTCCTTTTTTTCTCATAAACTATTCCAGCTTTGGAAAAGAGACGTTCACTATATACGCTGTTCGCAGGAATACACAAATATTTTTCTGCTAATTTAGATAAAATTAGCAGTATTTTTCTGTTGTCATGCCACCATAAAAATGGCGATTCAATCCGCTCTATCAATTTCATGGATAAATAAGTATCAATTTCACAGGACTTAGTATTACTCTCGGTATTACTACTATTCCTATTAGAAATTGCATTCCCACATGCAGAAGTTGATGCATCACTTGCGTTTGCTATTTCGGAAAAGCATGTCCAAATGGTCTCTTTTCTTCTGAATGTAGTCAATGATTCATCATCAATATCGTTATTGCTCTCGCTATTATTCAAATCATCACTTTCCAATATTTCGTGTTCCTGTGAAATTTCTTGCATTTTATGATAAATTTCAATTTTAATCTTAGACGACATGTCGTTATCGAAAAACGCTGTTTTAAAACGAGGATCAAGGAAAGTTGCATGTGTATAATTTATATTTAATAATATATTATTAAAACGATTATTAACATTTTGTATTAATGAATCTTTCATCGTACCCACGCCAAAAAATGAAATTTTTTTTAAAAGATATTTCTTGAGAGAAGCTACAATAGGAATAACTTCAGATATGATTGATTCAGAGGAACTAATTTCTTTGGTTATCTCTTCAAAGGGCTGTAATAGTTTTAAACAATTTTCTAATAGTGACCACTGATGTGATGATAGGTTGACTATAGCTTCAGTTTCTATAGTAAAAATACTAATAGCCCTTTTTAATTCAAATAACCTTTGCAACATATAAAATGTCGAATTCCATCGTGTCTGCACGTCTTGGACTAGTTTCAATGTTGGCATATTCAGTTCTCTTTGTATTGCTTTCAACTTATAGCAAGCTGCTGGTGAGTGATTAAAATGGGTCACAATTTTGCGACTTACAGCTATTAAATCATTGACGGTGCGTTGTGACTTTAAAGCCTCAGTCACAACTAATTGAAGCGTATGAATGAAGCATGTGATTCATTCTGGATATCTAAATTTTTGGTAGCTTTTTTAATATTTGCGCCACTATCTCTGATTATTATATAATTTTTATCATTTAAATGCCATTCTTCTATCATCTCTGTGATTATTTTCGCTATATTTTCCCCTGTATGGCTGCCCGGAAAATGTTTTACGTTTAATGCTGCATGCTTCAATTGAAAATCTTCATTTATGTAATGAATAGTAAAGCTTATATAACTCTCATTAGAAATATTACAAGTCCATATATCAGAAGTGAAGGCACAATTGCTTATATTCTCAATATCTTTTAAAATTTTAATTCTACATTTCTCATAAATATCTGGTATCACAGTTTCAGAAAAATATGTTTTAGATGGAATCTTATAACGTGGTTCAGCACATTCCATTAACTTTTGAAAACCTGCGAAGTTATAAACTGATAGGTATATCTACCTAACTATAAATAAATTGTAAATCATTATTAAATAAATTGTATTATTAAGTCTTACCAATATCTGTTACAATTGAAAATGGTTGATTGTCTAGTGCAATCATTTCTCCAATTGCCTTGTGCAGATTTAGTGATTTCTTATCATTTATATACCACTTTTGAGTTTTTACGTAATCTGCAATATTTGATTGTTTTTATTTTCTGCAGACTGACTTTGAAAATTTTCATTGTATTCTGTTATGTGTTTGTTTTGCAAATGCTTGATCATTGCCGATGTAGTAGCACGTTTTCCAATACCACCCCGTGATATTGGAATTTTACATAGTAAACATATTGCTTTTGTATTGTCATCACTATGTATTTCAAAGAAGTCCCAGATTTTGCTTCTTTTATTCATATTGCACAGTTTTTTTGAGACTACTTATTTTGAGGTTACAAACTAGAAACAACATAACATGTGAGTGAACAGTTGAATATTATAAACTATAATCTTATACGGAACTGTAATGATTTAACAGTTCCGCGTTAGATGGCTCTTTCGTCACTATTCGGCCGCCGAATATTCGGTATTCGGTCATGTAACATCACCGAATATTCGATATTCGGTTTTTTCAAAAATCAGTATTTGTTTCATCTCTAACTATTTAGATCTGTTGTAAGACATTGAATATTCCTTTGACCAGCGACAACGTGTAACGAGATATCATTACGTTCGATAATGCGGCAAAAATTCTCTCAGCGCGATATCACCTGCAGCGTTTCAAGCACAACGTAAGGAGATATCGTTACGGGTTTCCCCGTTTGAGGTGGTTGTTTGCGTTGACGCGCGCGATCATTATGCCGGTAGAAATTCCGCGTACGTCACCGCGTAATGTCCCATTATATAAAACAGTAGTACAATTCATCCGAATAAGGACGACTCCATCCGGCCGTTCCTCGCCGCACTCCGATCGCACCTTTTTTCTCCTATAGATACAAGCGGGTCCGACGATTGGTTGGTCGATCAACTAGGAGCAAGCAGCTTCGCGGTCACCGCGAAGCACCGCGGAGAGAACCGGTTGGAAACGATAAGCGATGACGACAGCGGCGGTGGCGGCAACGACGGCCACGAGGAAATTGCAAGCTTACCGAGTAATGACGTTACCACCAACGCAAACCTAATTGCAGGCCCAGACATTGCCAATTGGCCTGGTCCTGTCGTCGTCGTCGTTTCGGGTTTCCGCGGCTCCCAGTATCGCGGCACGTCGACACGTTTCGGTAATTTACAAGCAAATCGAGGTGCGGAAAATACATAGATAGAAAAAAAATGACGCGGAAAACTTGTTATCAAATTTATTAGCAGTCACTTAGTTTCGTAATTTTCGTCAAAGTCGTCGCTTCACTGCATACACGCATGAATATATTTTGAAACTAATATATTTTATATTACGAATACCGCAAACATTTTATAGATAGTAATTAATATAGTAATTAATATAGATATTTTCTTAATATATTGGAAATGTTTGCCGAAATTATTTTTGGCAGCGTTTGCGGGAAATATCTTGGTATCGCTATCGGATCGCAACAGCTCTCATTCAATTTCTCGTTTTACGTTAGATTTACGTTTACTACATCGAAACCGTTCGAACGCGTAAATACGAGACAAGAATCAAATGGCTGCATTTACCGCTAAATGTGAATGGAAAATACGCGAATAAACGCATATACGAATACGAGCCGCCACAGGCGGTTTTATTTCGCAACCCGTCGCATTTATTGTAATCTCTCGCAAAAGTGCGCGAAAAAGTATCGAGCACGCGTCGCTCTTCTCCCATTCACAAACAAGCGGCTTCATCTCGTGCAAAAAAAATTCGCGTTTGCGCTGCTTCGTCGCGTATCAACGGTCGTAAATTATCCGGCCGGTTGTAAAGTGGCCGAAAACGAGAAAAAACAACCGTCACCGCCGTCGCGCTCTTGCGTTCCGGATAAGGCCGGTCGACCGACCGGCCGATCGTCGATCTTCTTCTCCCGACTTTCCGGCCGCAGATATTTCGGGCGTCCGTCGCGTCGCGCGCGAACCACGACACGTCATAGTCGAGAGAAAGAGACACTGACCTTTCCACGTTACGATAGCGCGCGACGTTTACGCAACGCGCGTGGCGTAGTTACTCAGTCTCCGGCGGCGAGTGACGCCGTAAGACGCGCCGCCGCCATTTATTGACTCATCCTCTCATTCTGCTATATTTCATTATCTTTTTAAATCTCCAGTTATTTGTGGCGCGCACCAGTATATATATACACATATGCGCTTCGTTTTTCGATGTGACTTACGTAAAAACGTATGTTAACATGCGAACTCGACTGTAATTAAAATAGTTATTATCTCGAAATATTTAGAGACAAAAAGAACTCGTTAACTGAAACTTTAATGGAGTTGTAAATGCCACCAATTGTGTCTTGAGTACTGCAAGAAAGATAAAAACAAAAACAGAAATATAAAACACATTTTCTTAAAATTTGTATTTCCTCCGCTTCTTTTTCTTCAGTTGATATACGTGCAATATAAACGTTAAAATTGTCATTTATATTGAAAATATTTAAAAAGACTGCGCGATAAAATAAAAAATAGAAGGTATTAAAGGCAAGACCGGGGATAATGACGTGATTTCGGCGCTTCGCTCGAAAGAGGGACGATCTGCTCGATGTCCACGGCGTTACCGTTGCATAACTGACCTACACTCACGATGAACGCGAATGCTCGGCACGGTCGCGCGAGCACGCGTGCAATACGCGAGGCCCCGTCCCTTTCGCCCGAAAGTTGCGAAAGTACGGAAGAGCTGGTTATTACGGCCGCGCGCCAACTTAGAAGATTAGAAGTTTATTCGAGAAAAGTTTAGTCGCGTAGTGGAATATTGAACTGC